AGTGTTAGCGGCACGATGGGTCCTGGATGACAGAGCCACAGAGAAGTTTATGACTTGTTTCTACAAACATTTGTTCCGCGGTGAAAGCGCCAGTGAATCTCTCCACAAGGCCAGGAAGTGGATGAGAAATAACGGCTTTGACAAAGTTTCTCAATGGGCGACATTTATGATCATGGGCGACAACGTGACATTTGATTTTGGAAATTGGCCGGTGCCTAGTGCACCTCAAGAGCCATGAATTTGATAAAACCTCTGTAGCATAATGAATTAGACTAAGTAAAGCTCGAAACTATTTAATTACAAGCCTGTAGAAAGAGGACGCCATTTGCGAAGGACAACTCAGATCGGTACACAGAGGAAAGCACTTCTGTAAAATGTTCATAAGACATCTAAGTTTAATGATCTGAAACAAGACAGCGTATAGTGTTATCTCTTTATAAGAGTTCCGAAGTTAAAAAACTCCAATTTTTTTTTTGAGTCATCAGTTCAGTGAATGAGTCAATTAAAGTGTGATAATTCTTAGTTTTAGAACGCGATTAATTCTTCAAGGGAAGAAAAATTTAATTCTTTTTCAGCTGATTAGTTAGTCATTTCAAGTGGACTTTTAAAAAAATGTGTGACTTGGGAAAGAAGTTTTTCTATTTGGAAATTTCTTGCAAAGCTTTTGACAAGAAATATTTTGGTTTAACGTGCTAAAATAAAGACAAAAAATAAAATAAAGAAAAAAGAGATACACTTGTATAGTAATGCAAACCCTTGTATTCTCATAGATACCCCAGTAATTTTATCAATTTAACCTTGTAGCCCCAAAGAGTGACTAGCATCTAATTTCTCCTCACAATATCACTCCTGAATCAAACATTAAGGTCACGAGAATAACGGAAATGATCAACAAGTACAGAAGCTCTTGATGTTAGGCAAAATCTCCTGGTCAGCACCTTAGGAAATGCAGAAAAAACAGTATGGAGCATAAGCATACTGACCTTAGGGTGTAAAGGGTTAATTGATACCTTATGCGTAGGTACGGTTGTGTCCTCACACAGACTACTGTTTCGCTCCTTTTTATCAACGTCTCGAAAAGGTTACTTTATTATCAAAGGAAAATTTATGAATTCATGAAAATTTAACAGAACTCAAAGATAAACATATCTTTATTTTCTTTCAAAGGAAAGCAACGCGCGGTCAAGCCGCCTCACAGTTCGAGAGTTGCACCGAAATGGCTTCCATGTAAAATACTTTACATTTCAATTATCAAACAAAAAATGCCGTTAAAAGGCAGAACTAGTTAGAATAAAATAAGACACCCTGAAAATATGTCGAAATAGTTCTACGGAAGTTCAAAATTTGAAATACAGAGGTGAAAACCCGAGACTTTCCGTTTTAGATCCCTTTGCTTTGACTGAAGCGCTTTCCGAGTTTGCTCGAACGGGATGTCTTTCAGAGGGCAAAGTCTATAGTTTTTTGTCTTCAAACGGCGCTCAAATTTTGCGAAGAATGCCCTTAAGGAATTAGGCTCGTATTCCCCGTTGTCTTCTTTTTTGCGAACCGTTATAAGGAACTCACTGAGAAACTTGTTCAGCTCTTGAAGAGTCAATTCGTCCATTTGTCTCGTCTCGTCTTTCAAAACAAGAAATTCGTCGAACAGAGCAACATCGCGTTTGGTCCTTTTCTTTTTGTTTTCATTTTCCTGTCCGTCTATGAACTCTTCTACTGATGAATCTAGGCTCTGAAAACGCCGTTAGTCTGATTTGAAGCCTTCTTTCTAAAGGAAAATGCGCGTAAGCTCTTGGAAATGTGCTGTTTGTCAGTTAAGAGGAGCGGCGAGCGAGCGACACGGTTTTGTTCACTAGTGAAAACAATGATATAGCCAATCAATGCGTCGATACGTCGTTTTCAGCTAGTGAAAAAAATCGAATGACTAATCAGCTGGCTTCTCTAGCGCGAAGAGACTATTTCTATCTCGATGCTTTTTGGTGCGTAAATCCCGGTATGTACATAATAAATATATTTATGCAGTTTAGCAATATAACTTTTCTAGTACTTCAAAACAGCGAAAATTACTAACGAGAAGATGTGACACTCATGTAACACCACTGAATAATTCTAAAGATAAATAAAATGTAAAGTGATTGGCAGTCACAAGACAAAATTATTCATCAGATGTAGGGAATCACTGAACTGGTTGAAACTGATTTATTAAATGTGACTTATTGAACACCTTCGATCTAATAAGTGTTACAATGCAAGGTGAACGTGGCGACATGAAAACCGGACTCATTTTCTGTCAACAAACTGGACTCTAACAGGTCTGTTAGGAACGGTGACCCCTCTTATGAACGGCTCCACATTCTTTGCCCCAGGTGGGTAAGAGATGTCAAACTGCTGCACGATTCTGGCCATCAGCGGTTTAAACGCTTCAACTCAAGTTAATCAGTGCCCCCAGGGATATGGTAGCCCCCCTAATATTATGTCTACTTTCGACCTTCGCGGGAGAGCGGAGAAAACAGGATATAGGCAGAGAGTCTCTCGTAGCCAGGCCATCAGGTATGGCGTACGAGAGAGCGTTTCTGGCGTTGCAAAGGTAGAATTTCCAACCACTAAGAGCACTTCCTGTCGAAGAATCTTCTGTGTCTCAGGATTTTTGGCCAACATATAAAGAACCCATTGCATCGTGGTGGACGTAATGTCAACTCCGGCAAGCAAACCATCGAATACGCTCGCCAATAGGTCATCAATCGGGTAAGTATGTCATGTGTGGGGAATTATTATGTCCCCAATACATATAATGTCCTATTATGTACAGTAGGTACATCCATCTACACTGTCTACAATAGGTACAACTTCACCGTCTACAGCAGGTACAACTATCTACACTGTCAACAGTTGGTACAGCTATCTACAATGACAACAGTAGTACAGCTTTCTACACTGTCTACAATAGGTGCAACTATCTACAATGTCAACAGTAGGTACAACTATCTACACTGTCAACAGTAGGTACAGCTATCTACTCTAACAACAGTAGTGCAGCTTTCTACACTGTCTACAATAGGTGCAACTATCTACACTGTCAACAGTAGGTACAACTATCTACACTGTCCACAGTAGGTACAGCTGTCTACCCTGTCTCCAATAGGTACAACTATCTACACTGTCTACAGTAGGTACAACTATCTACACTATCTATAGTAAGTACAACTGCCTACGCTGTCTACAGTGTGTTTTACCTGTTAATCCATAATTAAATTTTGCCTCGGTTTTGGAATGAATTCCGCAGTCACATGAAATAGTTCCTAAGATTGTAAGTCATGAAAAACTCAACTCTTTTTCATGTAGTTTATCATCATCTCCATGCGTTTTACAATGAGGTAGCCATTCATTACAGAATGGTTGGTCAAAGTTCAATTTCTCTAAATTGGAAAAATGTCCATCACCCATTAAGTTCTTACGTAGTGATCGATGGGGTCGTGAAGTTGTGAGAGAATTTCTAAATCTCAATCTTGGTGTAAATTCTTATTGTGCTCGCAGTTATGCGATTACCTAAGCTAATTTTATATGAAGGAAACATGCTTTTTCAAAAGCAACCTGTCCTCTAACTTTGAAATCATCAACTAAACCCTCTTTTTGGAGACAACAGAGAAGAAAAATTCTGCAGGCACCTCGGTGACTTTTTTCTTTTTGAGAAAGCATTTTTCTATGTTATTGAACTTGGCTCTGTTATTTACTTCTAATGCTTTTTTCATTCTACTTATTTTCTCGCAGGAAGCAATGAAGAGGATACCACGTCACATGACCATAGCCATTCTGTAAATGTCACTGGATTTTGCAAATCATTAATTTAGATGGAGCTTTTCCTCTAAAATAGGTACGATGAACCTCCCTTCCCTTTTTTTTGTGTGTGTGCGACATGAGTACGTCGTTACTTAGCTTAAGAAAAGTTTCAGAACAATCTGAACAGCGAAGATTTCTGCTTTTTCTATTGCATGAACTGCCTTGTATTAAACAAGGGCATTTCGTTTTGCGTTGTCCAACTTCATCACGACAAGATATGTCGTTTCCTTCGCCGCGTCTACAAAAGGTCTCCATAACTTTTTGTTTTGTTTGCGCAGCCCATGCTTCTACATTTTGTAGGACACTTCCATTTTGAGCGGACACATGAACACTATCTTGTCTCATAACTTGGCAAAGAACGTTCAACACACGATCTTTCTCTGTTCTTATTATTTCTTCCACGACTACAACCTTTTCCGATCAGGGCCTTTTCTTCTGTAAGTCCCGCTATCTGCTTTTCTGCTGTGAAGTAAAGTGATCTCGTTAAGGAAACTCGATGTTTTCAATTCTATTGACTGATAATCATTACGATCTGTATATGAACTTATGCTCGTATTTTCCAACGCTTTCGTACACGTTTTTATTACAGACGACATGTGGACTATATTTTAATTACTTACGTGACTTTCGTATTTTGCAAGATTTATGTCAAATTTTCTGATTAGGCAACGCAAGCGATGTTTTTATACATTTTTAAATCTAGAAAAATGCAACAATAAGATGAGTGTTTACTCAGCTTCAAGCAATACAGTTGATCAGGGCAAAAAACCGAAGTTAACAAATAGAAGATATGAAACTGCTTCACTTGGCGTTATTACCATTGTTGGCAATTGTAGTATTTGTGCGGATGTCTTCATGACCAAATCCCCAAGCATCTTGTCGTAAACTCCTGGTGATTGAAATTCCTCCGCTTTTTCCTGAAGGGTTTCAACATCATCTTCTTTAGGCACGAAGGAAAGAAGTTCTTTATCTCCACTTAAGACCTCGTCAACAAAAAGTTGCCCCGAGTGATAAGTGTCTTTCTCTTCAGTCTTCAATAAACTGATGCTCTCCAAATGTTCTTTGAACAATGTATCTCCTGCAATAAATTTATAAATTTGCTTCACTAAGTTTCTAAAGGCACAGTCTCCGTCGGCGACTACTTCTTCTATTTCCAGGCCAAAATTTCTCTACAATATGCTTCGATTCCTGTCGATACTTATGTCATCTTCATGTGCATCAAACAGGCTTTGGAAACTAATGAAATCTGGCATATTGATCATTTCCTGTATGTCTGAAGCTTCAAATGCCCTGCTGTGTTTCTTGGCCTCTAAGTTTGTGATGACCTCATACATATCGGATGAAGCGTCCAGTATTACCCTAGAGACAAATTCCGTTTGCACATCCTCAATTTCCTCTACAACAACGGTGGTATCTTGCTGATAACTGCTGGAGTTTACATCCGAAATGAGGCCGTCCTCTTGTAAAGTGTGATACTCCAGTGCTTCCTTTAAAAGGAGATACGAAACTTGAAGACTCATTTTTCTCTTCTATTTTCGCATTATGTACCTCAATCGGCAGAGCGCATCCTACTCTTGAATTGCATTTATGCTTTGTTAGTAAAGTCCGACTACGTGGTGATAGAAAAGCACAGTGAGAATCGCTACAACTAATTCCACGTTGATTCTCGTTGCTCCTGAAAAACAGGATCTGTTTAGCAGCTTGTGCAGCTGTTCATTCCGCTCTGTTCCGAACCCTGGAGGTATTCCCGATAGACAATTGTTAAGGATGTGTTTTTTAAGTCTTTTTATTTCTTCCAGAGTTTCCTTGGTAAGAGGAGAGACGACTACATAGTCCAACCTCTTCAGGAAAATGTTCAAGTTTTGGAGAATTTTTACTTTGCAGGGTTTTTCCTGCAAACGAACATCTCCTTGATCATGGTCCTGTCAAATTCCTCTTCAAATGCTCTTTTGAGAAGGTGGTTATCATGTAGAAACGTTTTGCATACTCTTTGACAAGCATGGTAAAGATCAAGTTTCCAGGAGTATTTTTAAATATTGGTTGATACTTCTTGCGAACCTTGCAACAGTCGTCAATACAAATAAGCTCCAGCTTTTTGTTCTGTTTTCCAAGTCTTGCTTTATTCCCCTCTAGCACTTCTTGTATTTATTTGAAAGAAGTTGCCTTAGTGAGTCGCCAATTAATGATTTTTCCTTCTTCACTCATAATGTACAAGTTTTTAAACTGCGTTATGAATTTCTCATCTTAGCCAGGCCTTACTACTCCAATATTTTTAATGACTTTGAAAGTGTGATCACATAAGATCGCCAGACCTGTCACCTTATTCATTTCACTTTGATACACATACTGTTTATTTGAGGAATCCCTCAAAAAGATGCAACTTATTTGGTCATTGCTCAGAAAGGAGTATAATATGTTGTCGTGAAACTGTCTCACTGAACGGTTCTCCAGTAGCTCTATTTTCGTTTCGTGCGGCGTTGTATATTTGGCCACGCCTGCAGAACTCTCGAAAATTGAACTCTGCTATCTCTCAACTGACCTTCACGAAGTTCACTCCTCTGATTAGATTTGAATTAATAAAATCTTAAACTGCATTTGTGCACCCACTGCGACTAAACATAGTTATTAAGAAGATTGCCTGTATATGATGCCGTTAACTTTTTAAGAAATCATTGCAAGATGAAACGATCTTATGGGGATAGCCGCTCGTTTTACACAAATAAATGCGCTGTACGAGAAGAACGTTCCCAAACGAGTCAAATATTAGCCTTGGTATTCGGTCCTTATTTCCAAACTCACTAGTATTGAATTGCCACGGTACAAGAGGGACATCATGGGCGGGGCATGTGATGACACAGTCAACAAAGTGCTCTTGAGGACTCCATACAAACACCTTTGGTTTGAAAAAATCTGCTTTTGCTGTTCCTCGTAAAGAAGGACTGATGATATTATGGGAATTTCTATCGTTTGGATTTTTGTGAAATCTTTGATTACATTTTGAAGGTAACAAGTTATCATTTAGTAGAACAGTCTTTCTGAGTCTTCCCTATTGCTAGAAATTATTATTAGCAACATGTCCAATAGAAACAAAAAATTTAACCACAACTCATTACAAGAACAGAATGTTCTTCAGCAAATTTGGACAAATTTATGAACCTAAATCACTGAATTTGGACCATTTCAGGACTTGTAACCTTATGGGATTCTGTATGAACAGTAACACAACTTTAACTTTTTTCAGTTACTTTTATTAGTTAGCAAGTCAAACTTTAAGTATGAATTCCAAAATTTTTATTACATCATCCTGGTATTTTGGGTGAAGTTCATTTTTAGGGACCTGCAAAAGAAAAGTAAGGTTGGCATTAATTGACTAGTATGCATTGACATTACTTGGATTATTTTCCAGTTTTACTTCCTGACATTATTCCAGTCTTGTTGCATTGTGAATAGCCTACCTCTCAATTACATTTAATTTGACACGTCAGAATGATGCATCTTAAATGACATGCTTGTAAAACAAAGCAATCATGTAAATGTGGTCGAAAAGGGAGGCAAATAACAGTGAGACTCTGAGAAGGATTCAGTATTACTTAATGGTCAATCTTCACACAATTACTTTCCAATTCTATTGACATTTTTCTTATTCCCATAATTTTGATATTCTTCTTGAGGATTTTAATTTTTATTCAAGGAGATTAAAGGGGAAGTATGTCTCAAATACCTGATACAACTTTTTTCTTTTTTAATTTTTTCCTTCAGTAGCATTTTATTATAGTATCATGGTTTTTGGTGAGTTTTAAACTAGTATTTACTTGTTTAAAACAAGCTGGGTGTGAATGTGGGACATCACTCACAGGATGATTGAATAATCCCATGTTAAAACAAAATTCTTTTACACATGTTAAGAAACAGTAGCCACAATAATAAGGTTCTCAAAGATAAAGATGTAAACAAAGTTTACTGATGCAAAGCAATGAGATGATAACAAGGCTTGGAGATAAAATGATGTATAGCAAAGCCATGAAAACAGACAGAGTAAATGATAGAAGCAATGCATAAAACCGTTTAAAGTCATTTTAAATACAAAGAAGTACATACAAAGAAAACTATATTCATACAGACTGAAAAACTATGATAAACTTTGAGGAAAAAACTCTAGATCTCATGAAAATGATGGAAAAAGGTTAAGAGACTTCTGTATCCAGGTGAGAGATTTTACAGTGCTGACATTGTACCTTGGAAACTTGACACTAACATGATGAATAGCCAGCCTGAACTGAAAGTTTTGCTGAACATGTGCGATAAACTATACTAAATGGTACAAAAAACCACTGAGCAGTACAAAGGATAATAACTTTGATTGTACCATTTACAGTGTGTTTGTAAATACATGTAAGTCAGATTCTGTTGTTTTGGCCACAGCAAATTGGAAATTTCTTGATATTTATTAATTCAATGGGTGCTACTGTGAAGAAAAATTGGAAGCCAGTCACTTATAGGGGTTAAAAAGTTAATATACTTTTGACCTAAATGAGAAAAAGGTTGATGATAACGATGATCATGCCGTGGATCAGTAAAGCTCAGTGTTTACTGCCAAATAGTTTCTCTGTTTGTATTTCCTTTTGTGATTTTGTTTTGTGAAAACATGTTTTCTAATGCTGATCAATCTGGAGAGGATCTTTGATCAAAGAAACTCCAAAAAACTTTTGTTGTTTCTCCTCACAGTATCACCCATTGAATTAATTATTAAGTTCATGTGAATAAAAGAAATGATCACTTCTTTTGAGAGGCTCCCGATTTTATAACAAATTCTCATCATCAGCACCTTAGAAAAGGTAGAGAGAAAAATATATGAATACCAATATAAGGGTGCAACAGGTTATATTGCTACTTGTTACCTTTTTCTGTTTCCAAAGAATAACATTAATAGTTCAAAAATGGTCTTCAAACGTGCTAAAGATTCAATTGTGAATGTCATCATTTTGAAAACTCCTTTGTGAGCTTAGCTGTGTAAAGCATGCAAGCTTGCTATAAAAAATTTGGTTTTGGTTATTGTGAAAATTAATTTTTTTTTTTTTAAGTGAACAATTTCTTTAAGTGTAGCTCCTAATTTTTAATACTTTGACCCCTAAAAGTGACAAGCATCTAATTTCTCCTTGCAATATCACCCTTGAACCACACATTAAGGTCACAAGAATAAAGGAAATGATCACCAACTGAAGAAGCTCTTGATTATTACACAAATTCTCCATATCAGCTCTTGGAAAATGTACAGTATACAGAACAACATACTTAGAGAATGTGCATGCTAATGTTAGGATGCTAAGGGTTTACAGTGTTAGGGAAAAAGAAGAGAGAGATTTGATTATGCTGAGGTAAGAAATTAGGTTGCTAAGTTAGATTCAAACAAGCACTGCATTCCCTGGTTAAGTTTAAGAACATCTGAAGCTTCTCATCTTAACTCCAAAACTTTGGAATCTAAAAATGCTGTCAGTGTCATAATTGGTACAATATTTCTGATTGCATGAGAGACCAAGGTAGGATTTCTCCTCACAATATCAATACAAAATTAAGGAGGCATGTGATCAGAGTAGAGATAAAGATTATTAGTTGATCCAAAACCAAATTTCTCTGAACTAAATTCATAAGAATTCTATGGCAGACAGTAAGGAGATCTTGGGAGTGAGAGGGTTGAATGATAAGATTTTGAGGCTATGTCATGAGAGAGGTGTTTGAGTAAATCAATACAATCAAACCTTGGTTATCCAGATTATTTGATTATCTGGACCTGATTCTCTGGTCTCAAAGAAATAGTCCCTCTTGAGATCTTTGACAATGTTTTCCCATCACACAAAGCTGAATTACTGAAACAATTTGATGACAATGACAGATAGCACTTTAGGCAGCAAAACATTTTTATAAATACTTTTGGAAAATGTTAACACTGAAGTGCATTCATTGGAGAATATACTTTTATTTCTTGCGTGGTATAAATCCAATGATACATTTTGGCTCATTAATATTTATAGACTCTGGATAATTGAGGTTCGACTGTATAACCAGTTGGGCAGTGTTTCTAACTTCCATACCTTGTTGCAGTCATAACCTTGATCTGCCATCGTTTTCACAAATGCTTCCTCGCCTCCACGATTCCTTCCCATTGATACGTAAATACGTGAATCAGGTTTTGCTAATTTTGTGATGCACCGAGCGAGTAGCACAGAGTCGTCCGCTGAATGATTGGCATTCTGCAGCGAGAATGAGATGAAACAGACCATCTTTTGTCAAATCTTCTGTGCTCTTCCCCCAACAATATTCCACAACCTTGATTCTACTCCGACCAACTCCAGTCACATTTGCTGCCACGTTGTCTTCAAGAGTTTTTACACAACATTTCTGATCAGTTAGAACGGTCATTTTCGCACCTAACAAACACAAATAAATTCCCACTAAACCGCAGCCAGCTCCAAGTTCTAAAACTCGACATTCCTGCAAATAGTGTAAAGGAAATATATCTCGATTATCGAACATCTTAGCGAGTGCAATACTTCCATCCCAAACAGTTGTTCCAAGAGCTGTGTAACTCTGTCGAAGTTTTATGAGAGACACGCCATTGTAGAGTTCGTTGTCCCCTTCTCCTAATCGATCAGCGTCAGAACCCCTGTCAACTTCAAGTTCAAATGGATTTTCGAACCGTTGTTTTTCAGGTTTGTACTCTTGTCGAAGCCACATGATTAACGGGAATGACTAAGATTTTGGATGACCAAGGAAGCCCAGTACTGCATCCCTGCTGCAAAACATGCCAGGCGCAACTTTGTACCCAAGCCTCATAGTTAACCAGTCGATACGAGAAGTTGTCAAAACAACTTTTGATTTGCAGCAGAGGTATTTGCCAGTACTTTTGGAACAGTGCAAAGCAACGGTGCCAGAACACCCCCGTCACACTAAGCCATCAAACCTGCAATTAGTTCAATTTTAATCAGAGCCGTTTCACGGAGTAATCATCTAGGTCGATGTAGTGAGACCTAGTGAGTCTTGTTTCTTGTTAGCGAGACGTTTTCTTACTTTGATTCGTTAGAGAAATTTCATTTATCCCACCGAGCTGCTTTTTTATATCAAAAATCTCAGCTCCACTTCACGATCAGAAGCCGCACGCTTTCGAGCTAGTTACAAAGATTTCACTACACGCCTGACTCCGCGCGCCAACATTGAGCAAAAAACCCTATGGGGCCTCCTTAAAACTTGTTATTTTTTGACAAGCTCTGACAATGTGGCAAACATCTTGTTTGATTAAACATTTGATTTTATCAAAACTTTGTTTGATCGAACTCCTGTGGTTTTGAACAAGTCCTAAGCGCTCTCTAAGTCAAGCGTTCTTATCCACACTGGCCAAAGTGACGTCAGAATTCATCTTTACTCTCATTAGTCAGGTGAGAAGGAGCCAATTTACAAGATTTATTAGCGGTCAGCGGTCAGTCACAAACTGAACGTTAGCTGGTAATTGATTCATCAACTATTACATAACGAGCCACTGAAAGTTAGTTCGTTATGTAATAGTTGATAAATCAATTACCACCCCCCAAAAAACAACAACTTCAACAACAGCATGACGAAAAGTGATCGTATTATGACCAAAACGATTACAGAGAGATCTACGGAAGATTTGAACGGGACTGTAAGTAAGGAGTGAATCTGTACTGAACTGGTGAAAATGCAGCATTTTCATTTTTTAACTCGTTATTTTTTAAAAAACTCTAACCTTGCGGCAAGATCACTCATTGGCGGATGATCAATCATCTCTTTACGTCAATTAAAATGATCAGAAGAAAGCAGCGTCGAAAGACTGAAAGGCAAAAAGAGAAGGTAAAAGGTAACAATATTTAAAATGAACTCATATGTCAGATGAGATAGACAACATTAAGATGCGAGCGAGAAGAACTCCCCCATCAATGCTGGAACTGTGTGAATATTATAAAAAAAAACAGGCTTTGACGTTTGGCTCCAAAGAACATTCAGATGTTGAAGAAAATCAAACAGGAACAGCAACGTCAAAAAAGCAAGCACAATTAAGGAAGAGGCTCTTAGGTTCTGCCGCTGCAAGCTCGAGTAGTTATGAACCATCAGAATCTAGCTCATCAGGCCACATGTCTGTACACAAATCAAGGATTTTCTCCGTAGTGCGCGAAGATATTCCTTCGTTCTTAGAAGAGGCATGCACTAATTTACCAAGAGTAAGGGCTCGCAAAGTTAAAATAGTGGCGGTTAATGGTAGAAAAGATGGCAAAGATGAATACCCCTCTTTTCACAGTCCAGAAAGTACGAGCAATAAAAGCGTTCAAATGGCCTTGTGTTACACAAAGACCTCCAACGCTAAACAGGACAAAGGTATGGGGGTACATTCAGGCAGCAGGGCCAACATAAATGTATACAGGAACTTGCAAGAACAACAACGACAGCAGGCCACGACAGGTGTGGGGTGTACTGGCTGCACTTTCCCGCCGATCCAGCCACCCACTGCGGTGTCACTAATGTCTCTACCCCCGACAGAACCAGGGCCACACAACAAACTGGCTGCCAGCACAGGCCGCCGATTTGGTCGACTAGAAATTTATCAAGAACCAAGAAGTCAAGAAGATCGACGGCAGGGTGTTTGTGAGAGCAAAGATGGCAGTGGCGTTGAACGAAATTTCGTTAGAGTTTTGAACAAAAGATTTTAGTCGATTGTTTCCGTGTTTCGTTTCTAACGCGAAGATACGTCTACGTTGATATTCTAAGTCGACGTCTATATTGATATCTTTCCTTAGAAAAATTTAAATCAAAAATCGATCTTTTGTTGATCATATTTGAACACATTTTAAAACTACATGATCTATATTGATATAAAAGTCGACAGTGTGGCTGAATTTAGACTGTGAATTAATAACTGTGGTTGGTATCAACCGTGTAACTGTAAATAGAAAAATCAATTGTTAACATTCCCGGAGTAAAACATTAAAAAAAGGTTCAAAGATGCAGCGCTACTACTGCTGCTCAAAGATAAGTCGTAAAAAGTCATGGTGATAAGTGAAAGTGCTGTTTGCAGAAATGAAAGAGCTAAATCCAAAAGTTCTAATATGTAATTGGAGTATGAAAACAAAAATGAAACGAAACTAATACAACAATGACACAGAACAAAGCAAAGCCAAGAAATTTTTCTTTCAATATCCTTCGTATGCATCAGCATATAACCCATATTCATTTTTAAGAGGTTATGTCCAAGAATTTTCGCCTGCCAGAATATTACTCAAATTCCCCCAACCTCTCTTTATTGCGACCAACCTATTTCGTGCTTATAGCGCAAGAATTTCAATGTGAGAATGAGACTAATTATCCAATTCGTTACGTAACTGACCTAGTAAACGCCATCTTGAATTCCCCCCTACGCATACGTTTGTGGGGCACTTACGAAGCGACGTCACACTACACAACCGGCCCACTATAATTGAGGAGAGTGGTTATAAAGTGCTTAAATTTTTAGCCTAGTGATTGTGGCTTAGATCTTCACCCACATTTTTTTTTTACATAAGACTGCTACACCATATGCTGTTATGAGGCCAGTTAATCCACCATCTCCTTCCGTTCACTTTGTCCTATTCCTATAGCTTGTACAGCGTGTACACTTCTGTAGACATGACATACTAGATAGAACATCTTCAAACCTACATCTCATGCATCTTGTTTGATTCTACATTTGACTTTGTTTCAGACTTGTTTTATCTGACCGAACTCCTGTGGTTTTGAACAAGTCCTAAGCACTATCTAAGTCAAGCGTTCTTATCCACACTGGCCAAAGTGACGTCAGAATTCATCTTTACTCTCATTAGTCAGGTGAGAAGGAGCCAATTACAAGTCTTATAAGCGGTCGCGGTCAGTCACAGACTAAAAGTTAGCTAGTAATTGATTTATCAATTATTACATAACGATTAAAAAAAACCAAAAAACAACCACAACACCAACGACAACAATAGCATAACGAAAATGATTACATTATGACCAAAACGATTGGAGAGCGATCTACGGAAGATTTAGGCGGGACAGTTTTTGATACCTCTCACTATAAGTAAGGAGTGAATCTGCACTGCACTGGTGAAAATCCAGTATTTTCTTTTTTTGAACTCGTTATTTTTTTACAAACTCTGACCTTAAATTGCCACAAGATCACTTATTGTTCATCTTTGGCGGAAGATTAGTCAGCTCTTTCCTATGGCGTCAATTGAAGTCCCAAGTTCTTACAATGATGCTGTATATGTTATCATGACTTCACTTTCATCAATATTATCGTGTACAATACGGTAGGAGATTCTAAAAAGTAACCCTAGAGTAACAGCAGGAAGTTTACAGTGCCCCCCCATATGCGAGCGAAACGATCCATTCCCGCGAGGAAAGATGCCATCAGCATATTCTACTATCAGAAGATCGCGTGCAAAATTCGTCGAAACGAAACAAACGTTTCCCTTTTTGATGAAATGTTAGGCGCTGAACAGGTCTGAATAGAATTTTCTCTTGATTTTATATCATATTTCAAAAAATACAAAAACGGTGGGAGAGAGTCCTTGAATTGAGAACTCTGTCCTTTCATCAATTTAAGATGGTCTCAGGTTAACCGCTAACCGTAAAACGGCCAAAATTTAGCTGACCTAAAAAGACCTAAGATATTCCTGTTTTTCGAAAATACGTCGACAAACATATGGGTTACGTGAGAAAACGCAAATACCAATATTGGCCCCCTGCTTTCGAGCTCCGCTGGCGTGCGTTCCATGATAAGACTGACTGACTTAGTAAGTCCGTAAGGCTTATTGCATGTGTTTTGAAATAAATGTTGGTAAAGTGAAAATAACGAATGGATAAACGTAGAGTCTTCGAATGAGATAACTTTAAAATGCCAGAGATGAGCGAGGAAAATTTTTTTTCTATTTAACATTATTGTTCCTAAGTAAACAGAGCTCACGTTTGAATTTCCAATTCATAAAGAAATTTAATTTGTAAGCCACATCTTGAGAATTATCGCACTGTTACGTTCACAAAAGGATGTTTAAGTTTTAAAGTTTGGTTCTGTAAAGCAAATTAATTTCAAAATGCAACCGAACTATAATTTTTTTACCTCTTACACTACTTCTCATGTGAGTTGTTGCCCCGGCCAAATTTGTGTTATTTTTACACGTATGAAATTTCAGTTTCGTCATTTAAGTTTCCGTTCAATTTAGTCTGCCCTCTTTTCTTATTCAATTTGCAAATGAAGTAATTTATATTCCATTTACGAAATAACAGAAAAAGACATCATCAACATCAACCACAGTGTGAAACACAATGTTTGGCAAACATTACACTTTTTTGTGCAAAGGGGACCCCTGCTAGCCGATCGACCAACTGCAACCCGTGGAATGTTCCCAACAATGCTCAATAACAGGAATTTTGGAATCACTAAACACTGTGAAACATGGCTAATATCGTTACTGTGGTTTGCTAGATGGTAATACTGGTAGAAATTGCTGATTGAGATCATTAAAGTTGTGCCATGAGGGGAATTTTGTTCGAAAGTTTTGGCGCGTACTTTTGTAGTGCTGGATGCTGATAGTGGGGTGTTATGGCGTCACGGAATGGAACCTCACTCTCCTCGACCGCTCGTAATTCTTCGCCGGACAAATCTTTGAGATCAGCGACGCCACCGCTTTTGGCATCGACAGGGAAATTAGCAGCTTCTTTATCAGGTAAAGTTTCTCCGTAAAAACAACCGTTCAAAGGTCTAAAGTACACAGCTACGACACAACAGTTCCTCCATATCGTAAATTGTTAGTTAGAACAACTTCTTCAGTCTCGGAACCCTATCCAAACTAGGTCTTTCCAAACAGAAAGAGCCGGTTTTAGCCAAAACAAAGGGTCACTCATTGAATAGACTGGTGTGCGAGATGTGCTTTCTGATATTTCATTAATGCCAGAAAGAATCTGATCATTTCGCATTATCTGAAACCTAAACCTCTTTACACCCTAACATCAGTATCTAAATTCTCCATACTTTTCTCTGTACAATTCCTCTGGTACTGACAAGGAGAATTTGTTTGACAATCAAAGCTTCTAAAGTTGGTGATCATTTGCCTTATTCTCATTATCTCAATGAATGACTCAGCAGTATTATTGTAAGGAGAAATTAAATACTGATCAATCTCAGGGTTCAAAGGGTTACAAACACAAATATCTCACAGTCTCCACGCCAAGTGAATTGTCAGTGAAAAGGCGCTCGGTTCAAACATTAGATTAACGTTCCAAAAATAAAAGATTGTCCTGCGCTTCGTCTAATAGAAATCCTAGGTAAATCGGCCAACGAAAAGCGGACAAACTCAATAGGTAATTGATAACAGTTAAAAGACCTTATCCACAGGCGCTTACGTTTGGCCTTCATGTTCAGCGGGCCATACAGTCGAACAGATTCAGCGTAAGAGATAGACAACCAAATTTTTATTGGCTGCCTGATGTGACTGACGTATGACGTGTGTTGGAAAAAACTCAAAGGACGAAAAGAGATGTTTAAAAATATTTTCAAAGCAGGGCACTGAAGGCTACAGGTTATGGTAAGTACTGTCTGTGAAAACATCTGATTCACTACCATTAATTTGCCTAAACTGCATCAAACCTCTTTCAGTTATGAATTATGTGATAAATGACCTGGCGGAAGAGAATTCTGATATGTGCGATAGAAATTGAGAGAAATTCATAAACGGCAAAGTCGGTTTTGACGTTTTTAACCCCACCTTGACCTACCAAACATTGACTAAGTTCGACGAATTAACTGGTATTTTAACCGGCATTGGACATGATGATTTCTTTCAAGCTACTTTCTCTGACGATTAAATTCCGACACCCTCTGAGTTAGTCGAAAGACTATCTATTAACACACTAACCTCGCGCAGAATTCCAACCGTTATGTGAAAAATATGAATTCATAATGTCCATTACAATAGCTTAAATGATATTAATTTTGTTCCTTGCACTGAAAGAAAGATAAGGACAGACGGATGTTTGTTATCCTACTTTTGAAGCGCCACCTGATGAAATACATTTCGGTTTTGTACGTCTAACTTTTTTTACCGATGATGTATGTGAGCATGCAAAAATGAAACAATTCACTTTGGTTTCAGGTGACATCCGGTCTCAGCATAAATTGTTTTGCAAGAACCGTTGGATTTTTAACCCAAAATTGCAATCAAGACTTGTTACAGTACTGAATTGGAGCTTCTGTCTTGAAAAGGTAAGCTATTTGTGCTCGATGACTATCTCTTCATGAGCTGTTGATTTTTCAGGAAGTGCGATTTGCGTCATCGAAGACAAACTTGGTGATTAAGAAGAACGGCTGGATTGATCAGTGTTGTACCCTTACAAAACAACACATTGCCGTCTTCGTTTATCTCTTAAGGGTGTTAATCTTAATAAGACGGAAATATTGTAACAATCGCGTGATATCATGATCGAGGGGATCTCGTTTCATGTAAGTGAGGATCAACAAATGATACGTCTTTTAGGGAGGGGAGGGAAAGGGGAATAATGAACCTGGACTACTCTCACAAACAGGAATTTTCCTAAGAATGTACATCATCGGTCATCGATTTGAGTTTACACATTCTCTTCATTCGAACGATTTAAAGTTGAAAAGTAGTGCACCGAGGGATTAGCCGAGTCAGTCAAAAGTTGAAAATCCCATGTGACAGCCGAGGTTAATAATTATGCTCGAAAACTTGGTGAACGAATTTGACTTGAAAAGCCTTTTCCTGAGTAGGTCAAGTTTTTTTCCGCAGATTCTTTTCCTGAAACTCATCAAAACTTTCTTCAAAGAACGAGTGATTTTTCCTTCTTGGGTTAGGAACTCCTAATTACTCGGAAAATTATTTACTTTGCCAGATTGGTATAAATTTTCTCGATGATTCTTGGCTTTAAGCCGATTCAGTCCGTTTACTTTCAGTTTTATAGCGTGACAAGAAAAAAAAATGTTGATAAATTCCCGACTTTTAACCATTTTTATCCTTTTTTTCCCAGGAAAAAGTTGACCTCCTTTACCTTCATCAAAATCAATAGGGAACGTTTCTAACTTCAAAAGGTAATTTGCATCGATGCTGACTGTTTTAAAAATCGAAACAACTCTAGTATCGTTATGAAAGTTACAAAAAAAAAATTAAAAGAATAACAACGTTAACAGCATATAGAAATCAAATTTAAGTAAAACTGTGGTAAATTCGCCCATGAAGTTTACAACTTGCTCAGAGACGATTGGGTGCGGATGTAATAAAGAATCGTTGCCAATTTCAAATGAATAGCATACTTATTCGTTTCAACTAAATTTGAAGAGGATGCGATAGCAATGTTCAAAAATATTAATGTATTCAAGAAAACCTTCAAAACTCGAGATTTTTCATGACTCGAATATTTAGTGAAAATCGCTTCAAATATCTCGGATGCGGCCATATTTCTGCTCATAATTACTCCATTTCCATAAAGTTTATTTGCTTAGGAGTATATAGAGGTGATAAGATCTGTGTGAAGTTACGTACGCATAGCCAAGCGAAACATATATTTTGCATCGGTATTTCGCTCACGACGACGGGCGAATGACAAATGGGGATTATGACTGTGATCTGTTGACATCTAGTAAAACATGCTACTGATTCTGTTGAAGACATTCTGGGCTCATTTCATATTTTAATACACAATATTAGGCTCACAAAATGCACCTGATGAAATAAATCCCATTTGGAGTGCTAATAAAAGTACACTTGCCAAGCTTGGTGTACGCGGGAAACTACCGGCCGGTCGCTGACTTTAGACACCCAACCGTATGCAATATTTTAGAAGGATATCTGCGGCTGGAAAGTGCCCAGATATTCTTCAAGACTCACACTGGCCACTTTTTTGAATGATCGGTTGTTTGAATAGAGAAGATAAAATGCTTTACAAGGGGTCTTTAGACATCGAAAACGATCTGTACCATCTGCACCTTTTGAGAGTGATAGTACCACAGGGCACCCAAGGTATCAGGGTATTATTATCAGAGGATTATCCCCTTTCCCCCACGGTGTCTCTGAACCAGAAATGCTGATTTGATTTTATTGTTTTGTTTGAGTTTGGGGATATTATAACTATTTCTTTACATCTGGTTCATCCCAAACCCTTTCCAAAGAGTCTAGATCAAAACGCTATACTCTGGTCCGCTACCCGTACGCCTCTCCCTAAAGTCACTTCCAATCCAGCCTCACCACTCCGCAGGCTTTTTCAATGAAAAGGGAGGGACCTCTACGCAAAAAGGCATATGATTTGAAGGACCAGACTAAAGACACCCCTTCCCAGAAAACCCTGCATGTGAGGGCTCGCGATTCTGTAGTTTAAAGCGTGTTCACAGAGTTAACCGATGTTTCACCCTCTCGCGTAGATTATACCGCCGAATCTCTCTTTCCAATGGCTCTAGATCTTGGTGAGCAATGTTGATGTCGCTGGCCTCCGGAAATTTTCCGGTATTCTTTAAGGTCGCCAGTCTAGAAAAATAGCTTGCAATCTGCTGAGCTGTGAGCCACTCCTCTTTGTCGAAAAAGCGTTCGTTAGTACCCTCCCGACATAGTGTGCGTATTCGTTTTAAAGCATAAGGCGGGGTCACCTTGCGTCCAGTCTCTTCACCAACAAGAAATAGCTCGAGAAGGAAGTTCTTCACCTGTTCCGTAAGTCTACTACACTTCCTTGCCTTGAGGGCCCAGCCACGAGGCACGCCGTTGGAGCTGTTGGCGGTAGAAGTACTGGAGGTCTTGTGGGTTTCTGGTATTTTTGCTTTCAGAGAGGAGCATTTCGCCGCCCACTGCCGTCTGATGTGATCGTACTGCATCTCCCGGTGAAGTTTGTACTGGCGCTTGCCGAAGTCGATATGGCTGACAAGGTAGTGGTTAGGGTGCTAGACTTCAGTACACCCTTCCTCAGGACATGAAAACAAGGCGCTTGCAGTTTCTTCGCAGTTACGTTCCCTCACATCTTTCGCTGATAGTGGATTTCTCCACCAAGAAGCTGGCCTTTTCAACTCGCCTTTTGCAGTGTCTGATGCGTAAAAGGCTTCAAAACCTTTATACCTGTCACTTGTTGCGTTGACTCCATGGGAAGAGCCTTTTTCCGAGATCCTACTCCCACACGAAATGCGCGCCACACTCATACTAAAAATTATTTAGCTGACTTATGCCCGCCCACTTTACGGGTGTTAACATTTTCTCTACTTGGTCAATAGCCTCCTTCAGCTGCACTGCAGTAGTAACACCATGACCGGCAAACCAATATCCACAGGCATGAGTAAGTTCACGTTTGAAGCTTCAGGTGCTGTGGCCTTTATGGGAGGTGTGCGAAACATGCTGGTTCTTCGGGCATGGGCTTTAAACTACGAGGCGCAATGTTGTACCTATTGCCACTAGTTACGAGCGAACATGAGTCGGCGAGGCAATGAGCGCAGTTTATTGTCCCATCCTTCGCGGTAATAATCCAGATTTGATTGTAGGCCTCGAGACTGCAGAAGGGTTTTTTGCGTATAATAGCTAGTCTTGAAAACAAAATAGCACAGCAAATGAGTCGATTCCACCGGCGAGAAGATACCGGAGGTGCCAGCGCCAACGCAAGCGGATATAGAAAACTTTTACTTTTATTTTGTACTCAGCAAATGCAAAACAAAGCTTGTATTGCTGAGCTTAGTGCCCACTACTGATTCGACATCGAAGGAAATGTCGATAACCTTTACTCCTGGTTCATCAATTATTTGTTTTTTGGACTCGATTTCTTACTTAATGACTACCATGCACGTTTGGTCACTTTCATAACAAATGACAAATTTGAGCAATTGCGCAAACCTAGTGAGCCGATAATATGAACGGCGGTTTCCAAAGTATCAAAGGCTAACGATCCCTCACTTGTCATGCTATCCAGGCCTGGGAGGCTCTTCTATTTCGATGCGATACACGCCTGTTGAAAGATTGTTTACAACGATACGGCATCTTTTAGTGAAAAGGCTAATATACATATGTTAGTCATATCTGTCAACTCTGTGGTATACCCTCCTCCTGGTGTTCTTCAGAACGCTCGGCAGTAGGAGTCCCCTATAAAAATGAAATTTCTGCATTCAGTTTGAAAATAGGGTGTGCCGTGGGGACACAGTCAAATTATTATCCTTCACCTTTCACCTTCTTCAGGTTTCTTAAAGGGTACAACGACCAAATCTAACCATGTCATGTCTAACATGAGCTGTTAGGGGCGGACCATTATTTCTCTGACGAGGAGAGGGGGGGAAGAGACAAAAATTATTTTGCATGCAAACAGCTTATTATTTCCTTTTTTTAGCTGCAAAAATTTAATTAGGGGGTTGCATACAATTTATTTCAGTTTGCTGCGCTTGCAAATAATTCATTTCAGTGTTTACGGTTCTGCAAACAATTGAGTTCAAGATTTTTGATTCCCCCACCCCACTTGCAAATAGAGTATAGTAGACATTCGACTGACACTCGCTTGCAGGACTCAAACTGTATGTGAAATGTTGCCTTATTGTTGCATAAAAGCTTAAAAATAAATTTATTGGGATGACTACCGTTTTACAAAAGCACTAATATTTTAAATTCACAGTATTTTACCTGTGTATTACCAGTTGTTTCCTCGGAGCAGCGCTCAGTCTCGCTGTAATTAGATAAACATTTGCTACATATCCCTTGAAAACCAAAATAATAATGCTATTTTAACTCGGAAGCATGATAAAACTTATATTTTATCTCATGCTGTGTTCATTTTCAAATGTAGCCGGTATTCCGAGACAACATTAAATTATTACAATGAGTTACCTTGTCCAGTCTCGCGAAGTACACCGAAGTCTCATTATATTTTTCTCGACATCTCCTTGGATATCCCTCTGTACGGTTTCTGTTTGCTCTCATGCTCAGGATATTTACAAACTTTACTTGGCCGTCATCCCACGCCAAATTCGTTCCTGTGCTCGGGACAAATTGTGAGATCTTCTTCGCACTCGTCGAACAATCCAACGCGGGCCAAACATAATTTACCATCTTCCTCTACTCCTTCCCGGGGAGGCTTGAAAACAACCATACAAGTGCTCTTTTGTGCTACTTGTACAATTCTTCACAATAAAAATAGATCTAGCGCTCTTGTTTCGAGTAGAAAGAGTACATTCTTTCTTAGAATGTTTCTGGAAGGAACAAACACATTTAAAATCGCCAATCTTTACGAAATAGAAAGCGTGGGAAATGTCGGTGTCTGGTGAGTGTCAAGCAATCCTCTCAGCGCGTTACCAAAATAATGCCGTCGGAAAACAAAAATAGTTTAAAATATATTGAATTTGTATTTTCGATATACTTCATCATTACTTTCCTTTTTCCTGCAAACAAATAAGTACCTTTTCATCTGTAACCGAGGCAATATAAAAGGGCCTAAAAGTTGCGGTGCAATAAAAAAAATAAAATAAAAAGCGGCCTGGCTTCTTATATGATTTTTAGATAAGATAAAACTATTTTTTGCTTTTCAAAATACTGCTAAAGATCTTCTCGAAGCTTTCCTTGCGTTATGGAGACTTATAAACAAACGGACTCTGTATTACGATACTCTGGCACGTGTCACGTGACCCTCCGAGGCACGCTGGATTGCCGTATATCAAGGGCAAATTCTTCATCTAAAATGTAAACATAACACACCATTATTATTATCATTGCTTAGATCATCAATTACTCAAGCTGGAAAAAGCATTGAAATGAATCAAAACATGGCCGCTTGTTTGCTTTTTCCCGCTATTTTAGTGGTATTTTCCGTTATTTCGCAAAATGGTTAAAATTGTCAAGTTTGATGGATGGCTCACAAATATAAAAACAGGACAATCATATATTTTTATATTTGTACATAAAAATCAAGGTTTCTACTTTCACTTAACGAAATATTTTTTGTTGGCTTCAGAAACACCCACATCATGAATTCACTGCATTTTTGGCACGAATTTTTGCGCATTTCTTTACAAAAACTTAAAACTCGTATAGCCCTCTTAAAAATTAGTATCTAGATAAACCGTTTGGTTTAGATTGTAGGTTCATTGTGGGCAACAAGTGAGCCAAATTTGGGCTAAATGGGGGGGGGGGGTCGTCCAGACTCGTCTGCCATGTGGTCACGTTCTAAAAAGACAAGGGGTTAGATAAATTGCGCGAACGAAAGCTCAAAAACAATTAACTAAACTCCGTTAAGACAAGCAACAAAAGTACGCGAAAAATGTCCATGTCAGTTTTCCAATACATTGACGTAATTTGCTAATTGTGAAATCACGTGCGCCACGCATGTAAATAAAAAAAACTACAAGGCCAGGAGTGGAAAATGAAAATTGTAATTTGAAATTTAAAACTAAAAAGATTTTCTGCAAACAATCCGTGAATAAGTTTTGACTAATTTCTCCTTGACAGGGTCAAGATGGACAACATAGAAGAAGCTATATATCAGCATATGTAAAGTAGTCACCGAGTTCCTTCGCAAAACTGGTCGCGTGTTGCAAGCCGTCCAGGTGTACAAGGAATGTTTGGTTATAATACCCAGTCAAGCGCAGGCTATCAATAGTTCATTGGCAAACGTTATGTTCAAAATCATGACAACGGTTGGAAACACCCATGGCCAGGCACCATGTTACTCAAAGCTCGGAGTAATGTTCCAATCGTATGGTCAATATGACAAGGCCCGAGAATATCAGGATAAAGCACTCGCTATCGCAGTAGAAATTGGTGACAGGGATGGAGAAGCATCAAGCTACGGAAACCTAGGAACTATCTTCCAATCACTCGGTCAATATGACAAGGCCCGAAAATATCAGGAGAAAGCACTCGCTATCAGATTAGAAATTGGTGACAGGGATGGAGAGGCAACAAGCTACGGAAACCTAGGAACTTGGTTCCGATCGCTCGGTCAATATGACAGGGCCCGAGAATATCAGGAGAAAGCACTCGCTATCAAAATAGAAATTGGTGACAGGCATGGAGAAGCAACAAGCTACGGAAACCTAGGAACTGTGTTCCAATCTCTCGGGCAATTTGACAGTGCCCGAGAATATCACGACAAAGCACTCGCGATTAAAAACGAAATTGGTGATAGGCATGGAGAAGCAACAAGCTACGGAAACCTTGGAACTTTGTTCCAATCAGTCGGTAAATATGACAAGGCCCGTGAATATCAAGAGAAAGCACTCCTTATCAGAATAGAAATCGGTGACAGGGATGGAGAGGCAGCAAGCTACGGAAACCTAGGAACTTTGTTCCGATCACTCGGTCAGTATGACAAGGCCCGAGAATATCAGGAGAAAGCACTCGCTATCCAAATATGAATTGGTGACAGGAATGGAGAAGCAACAAGCTGGGGAAACTTAGGAACTGTGTTCCAATCACTCGGGCAATTTGCAAAGGCTCGAGAATATCACGAGAAAGCACTCGCTATCAAAAACGAAATTGGTGACAGGCATGGAGAAGCAACAAGCTACGGAAACCTTGGAACTTTGTTCCAATCACTCGGTCAATATGACAAGGCCCGAGAATATCAAGAGAAAGCACTCGCCATCAAAATAGGAATTGGTGACAGGCATGGAGAAGCAACAAGCTACGGAAACCTAGGAACTGTGTTCCAATCACTCGGGCAATATGACAAGGCCCGAGAATATCATGAGAAAGCACTCGCTATCAAAAACGAAATTGGTGACAGGCATGGAGAAGCAACAAGCTACGGAAACCTTGGAACTTTGTTCCGATCACTCGGTCAATATGACAAGGCCCGAGAATATCAGGAGAAAGCACTCGCTATCCAAATAGAAATTGGTGACAGGAATGGAGAAGCAACAAGCTACGGAAACCTAGGAACTGTGTTCCAATCACTCGGGCAATTTGCAAAGGCCCGAGGATATAACGAGAAAGCACTCGCTATCAAAAACGAAATTGGTGACAGGCATGGAGAAGCAACAAGCTACGGAAACCTTGGAACTTTGTTCCGATCACTCGGTCAATATGACAAGGCCCGAGAATATCAGGAGAAAGCACTCGCTATCAAAATAAATATGAGTGACAGGCATGGAGAAGCAACAAGCTACGGAAACCTAGGAACTGTGTTCCAATCACTCGGGAAATTTGACAAGGCCCGAGAATATCACGAGAAAGCACTCGCTATCAAAAACGAAATTGGTGACAGGCATGGAGAAGCAACAAGCTATGGAAACCTTGGAACTTTGTTCCGATCACTCGGTCAATATGACAAGGCCCGAAAATATCAGGAGAAAGCACTCGCTATCAGAATAGAAATTGGTGACAGGCATGGAGAAGCAACAAGCTACGGAAACCTAGGAACTGTATTCCAATCACTCGGTCAATATGACAAGGCCCGAGAATATCAGGAGAACGTACTCGCTATCAGAATAAGAATTGGTGACAGGCATGGAGAAGCAACAAGCTACGGAAACCTCACAGGTTTGTTTCTCTCACTCGGCATGTATGCAAAGGGTTACGACTATCTGATGAAGGCACTGGCAGTTAGAAAGGGTATCGATGATAGAAGGGGAGAAGCAACAGATTACAGTCATCTTGGTCAAATTTCTTTTAAGCGTGGTGAATATGACAAGGCTCAAGAATATTACGAGAAAGCCCTGGCAATTCACATGGAAATCGGTGAGAGAGAAAGAGTACCAGTCAACTACAGGAATTTAGCATTGTGTTTCCAATCGCTTAGCAAATATGACGTGGCCGAAGAATACCTTAAGAAGGCTCTCCTATTAAGTAGGGACATTGGACTCAACTTAAGCGAGTTGTACTGCCTCTGTAATCTATCGGTGTTAAAGTTCTCACATGGTCATCTTGAAGAGGCTTGTTCGTATCTTTTTCAAGGCATCCAAAAGTTCGACACTTTGAGAGGTTTTCTTAAAGAAAACGATCAGTTTCAAATAGCTCTCTTAGAAGAGCACGGCACCTTTTCCTACAAGCTGTTCAGTAGGTTGCTTTCTTCCACTGGAAAACCTCAAGACGCCCTTTACGTCGAAGAGCTGAGAAGGGCACGAGGCCTGGCCGACTTGATGGCAGCTCGATACTCTCTTCAAGAGCAGATCTCAAGCGATCCACAATCTTGGTGTGGCATTCAAAGGATCATCACAAAAGAAGCAGACTGTGCATGCCTGTACATTTCGATTAGTGAAGATGAGGTACGGTTTTGGATAATTACAGCAACGGGAGCTATTCATTTTTCAGAAAAGAAAGTGAGCCTGGACCAAAACAATGTGACCGGAATAGTCCCTGAGTTAGATGAGTTTTTTAAAGAAGTCTTCCGCAGCCACGTCATTTTATCCGAACAGAATTGCGAAGATTTCAAAACAAGTCTTGACTTGTGTTACAAGATAATCATCGCTCCTGTGGTCAGTTTACTGAAGCAGCAGCCCGAGATCATAATTGTCCCCGATTCCTGTGCGTACCAAGTGCCATTTGCAGCCTTGGCTGACGAAGGAGGCAAGTATTTATCCGAGACATGCAGGATTCGGATAGTTCCCTCCCTGACGACTCTCAAGCATGTTCAAGACAGTCCTCCAGACTATCACAGTCAGACCGGGGCACTGATAGTGGGTGACCCTATGGTTGGAACGGTGATTTACAAGGGAAGGTGCAGAAATATGCCACCATTGCCGTGTGCAAGAAAGGAAGCAGAGATGATTGGAGGACTTCTTGGAGTAAGGCCTTTGATAGGAGATTCCGCGACAAAGCATTCTGTGCTCCAAGCGATAAGTTCAGTGAGCCTGATACACATTGCTGCCCATGGTGATGCCGAAAGAGGGGAGATTGCTCTTTCTCCTATGCACCCTACCCTACTCCCACCTTTCCCTAGAGAGGAAGATTATCTTTTGACGATGGCGGATATTTCAAAAACTCAGTTACGAGCTAAACTAGTGGTGCTTAGTTGTGATCACAGTGCTCGTGGACAGATCAGAACCGAGGGAGTTATTGGAATTGCCCGAGCGTTCCTAAGATCCGGAGCTCGTTCAGTGTTAGCGGCACGATGGGCCCTGGATGACAGAGCCACAGAGAAGTTTATGACTTGTTTCTACAAACATTTGTTCCGCGGTGAAAGCGCCAGTGAATCTCTCCACAAGGCCAGGAAGTGGATGAGAAATAATGGCTTTGACAAAGTTTCTCAATGGGCGACATTTATGATCATGGGCGACAACGTGACATTTGATTTTGGAAATTGGCCGGTGCCTAGCGCACCTCAAGAGCCATGACTTTGATAAAACCTCTGTAGCAGAATGAATTAGACTTAGTAAAGCTCGAAACTATTTAATTACAAGCCTGTAGAAAGAGGACGCCATCTGCGAAGGACAACTCGGATCGGTACACAGAGGAAAGCACTTCTGTAAAATGTTCATAAGACATCTAAGTTTAATGATCTGAAACAAGACAGCGTATAGTGTTATCTCTTTATAAGAGTTCCGAAGTTAAAAAACTCCAATTTTTTTTTTGAGTCATCAGTTCAGTGAATGAGTCAATGAAAGTGTGATAATTCTTAGTTTTAGAATGCAATTAATTCGTCAAGGGAAGAAAAATTTAATCCTTTTTCAGCTGATTAGTTAGTCATTTCAAGTGACTTTTAAAAAAATGTGTGACTTGGGAAAGAAGTTTTTCTTTTTGGAAATTTCTTGCAAAGCTTTTGACAAGAAATATTGTGGTTTAACATGCTAAAATAAAGACAAAAAAATAAAATAGAGAAAAAAAAGATATACTTGTATAGTAATGCAAACCCTTGTATTCTCATAGATACCCCAATAATTTTATCAATCTAACCCTTTAACCCCAAAGAGTGACTGGCATCTAATTTCTCCTTACAGTATCAGCCCTGAATCAAACATTAAGGTTATGAGAATAATGGAAATGATCAACACGTATAGGAGCTCTCGATTATTAAGCAAAATCTCCTTGTCAGCACCTTAGGAAATGCAGAGAAAACAGTATGGAGAATAAGCATACTGACCTTAGGGTGTAAAGGGTCAATCGATACCCCTATGCGTAGATACGGTTGTATCCTCACACAGACTCTTGTATGCTTATAGATACTTTTGTATACTCATTATCCTTCACTTCCGCTCTGCCGCTACTGTTTCGCTCCGTTTTATCAACTGAACGTCTCGAAAAGGTTACTTTATTATCAAAGGAAAATTTATGAATTTATGAAAATTTAACAGAACTCAAAGATAAACATATCTTTATTTTCTTTCAAAGGAAAGCAACGCGCGGTCAAGCCGCCTCACAGTTCGAGAGTTGCACCGATATGGCTTCCTTGTAAAATACTTTACATTTCAATTATCAAACAAAAAATGCCGTTAAAAGACAGAACTAGTTAGAATAAAATAAGACACCCTGAAAATATGTCGAAATAGTTCTACGGAAGTTCAAAATTTGAAATACAGAGGTGAAAACCCGAGACTTTCCGTTTTAGATCCCTTTGCTTTGACTGAAGCGCTTTCCGAGTTTGCTCGAACGGGATGTCTTTCAGAGGGCAAAGTCTATAGTTTTTTTGTCTTCAAACGGCGCTCAAATTTTGCGAAGAATGCCCTTAAGGAATTAGGCTCGTATTCCCCGTTGTCTTCTTTTTTGCGAACCGTTATAAGGAACTCACTGAGAAACTTGTTCAGCTCTTGAAGAGTCAATTCGTCCATTTGTCTCGTCTCGTCTTTCAAAACAAGAAATTCGTCGAACAGAGCAACATCGCGTTTGGTCCTTTTCTTTTTGTTTTCATTTTCCTGTCCGTCTATGAACTCTTCTACTGATGAATCTAGGCTCTGAAAACGCCGTTAGTCTGATTTGAAGCCTTATTTCTAAAGGAAAATGCGCGTAAGCTCTTAGAAATGTGCTGTTTGTCAGTCAAGAGGAGCGGCGAGCGAGCGACACGGTTTTGTTCACTAGTGAAAATAATGATATAGCCAATCAAAGCGTCGATACGTCGTTTTCAGCTAGTGAAAAAAATCGAATGACTAATCAGCTGGCTTCTCTAGCGCGAAGAGACTATTTCTACCTCGATGCTTTCTGGTGCGTAAATCTCGGTATGTACATATAATATATTTATGCAGTCTTGCAATATAAGTTTTCTAGTACTTCAAAACAGCGAAAATTACTAACAAGAAGATGTGACCCTCATGTAACACCTCTGAATAATTCTAAAGATAAATAAAATGTAAAGTGATTGGCAGTCACAAGACAAAATTATTCATCAGATGTAGGGAATCACTGAAGTGGTTGAAACTGATTTATTAAATGTGACTTATTGAACACCTTCGATCTAATAAGTGTGGATTGTTTAAACGAGTTGTCACCAGAATTTGTCTCACTCTCAGCTGTCAACAAACTGGACTCTAACAGGTCTGTTAGGAACGGTGACCCCTCTTATGAACGGCTCCACATTCTTTGCCCCAGGTGGGTAAGAGATGTCAAACTGCTGCACGATTCTGGCCATCAGCGGTTTAAATGCTTCAACTCAAGTTAATCAGTGCCCCCAGGGATATGGTAGCCCCCCTAATATTATGTCTTCTTTCGATCTTCGCGGGAGAGCGGAGAAAACAGGATATAGGCAGAGAGTCTCTCATAGCCAGGCCATCAGGTATGGCATACGAGGGAGCGTTTCTGGCGTTGCAAAGGTAGAATTTCCAACCACTAAGAGCACTTCCTGTCGAAGAATCTTCTGTTTCTCAGGATTTTTGGCCAACATATAAAGAACCCATTGCATCGTGTCGGACGTAATGTCAACTCCGGCAAGCAAACCATCGAATACGCTCGCCAATAGGTCATCAATCGGGTAAGTATGTCATGTGTGGGGAATTATTATGTCCCCAATACATATAATGTCCTATTATGTACAGTAGGTACATCCATCTACACTGTCTACAATAGGTACAACTTCACCGTCTACAGCAGGTACAACTATCTACACTGTCAACAGTTGGTACAGCTATCTACAATGACAACAGTAGTACAGCTTTCTACACTGTCTACAATAGGTGCAACTATCTACACTGTCAACAGTAGGTACAACTATCTACACTGTCAACAGTAGGTACAGCTATCTACTCTAACAACAGTAGTGCAGCTTTCTACACTGTCTACAATAGGTGCAACTATCTACACTGTCAACAGTAGGTACAACTATCTACGCTGTCTACAGTAGGTACAGCTATCTACTCTGTCTCCAATAGGTACAACTATCTACACTGTCTACAGTAGGTACAACTATCTACACTATCTATAGTAAGTACAACTGCCTGCGCTGTCTACAGTGTGTTTTACCTGTTAATCCATAATTAAATTTTGCCTCGGTTTTGGAATGAATTCCGCAGTCACATGAAATAGTTCCTAAGATTGTAAGTCATGAATAACTCAACTCTTTTTCATGTAGTTTATTATCATCTCCATGCGTTTTACAATGAGGTAGCCATTCATTACAGAATGGTTGGTCAAAGTTCAATTTCTCTAAATTGGAAAAATGTCCATCACCCATTAAGTTCTTACGTAGTGATCGATGGGGTCGTGAAGTTGTGAGAGAATTTCTAAATCACAATCTTGGTGTAAATTCTTATTGTGCTCGCAGTTATGCGATTACCTAAGCTAATTTTATATGAAGGAAGCATGCTTTTTCAAAAGCAACCTGTCCTCTAACTTTGAAATCATCAACTAAACCCTCTTTTTGGTGACAACAGAGAAGAAAAATTCTGCAGGCACCTCGGTGACTTTTTTCTTTTTGAGAAAGCATTTTTCTATGTTATCGAACTTGGCTCTGTTATTTACTTCTAATGCTTTTTTCATTCTACTTATTTTCTCGCAGGAAGCAATGAAGAGGATACCGCGTCACATGACCATAGCCACTCTGTAAATGTCACTGGATTTTGCAAATCATTAATTTAGATGGAGCTTTTCCTCTAAAATAGGTACGATGAACCTCCCTTCCCTTTTTTTTTGTGTGTGCGACATGAGTACGTCGTTACTTAGCTTAAGAAAAGTTTCAGAATTCTGAACAGCGAAGATTTCTGCTTTTTCTATTGCATGAACTGCCTTGTATTAAACAAGGGCATTTCGTTTTGCGTTGTCCAACTTCATCACGACAAGATATGTCATTTCCTTCGCCGCGTCTACAAAAGGTCTCCATAACTTTTTTTTTTGTTTGCGCAGCCCCTGCTGCTACATTTTGTAGGACACTTCCATTTTGAGCGGACACATGAACACTATCTTGTCTCATAACTTGGCAAAGAACGTTCAACACACGATCTTTCTCTGTTCTTATTATTTCTTCCACGACTACAACCTTTTCCGATCAGGGCCTTTTCTTCTGTAAGTCCCGCTATCTGCTTTTCTGCTGTGAAGTAAAGTGATCTCGTTAAGGAAACTCGATGTTTTCAATTCTATTGACTGATAATCAGTACGATCTGTATATGAACTTGTGCTCGTATTTTCCAACGCTTTCGTACACGTTTTTATTACAGACGACATGTGGACTATATTTTAATTACTTACGTGACTTTCGTATTTTGCAAGATTTATGTCAAATTTTCTGATTAGGCAACGCAAGCGATGTTTTTATACATTTTTAAATCTAGAAAAATGCAACAATAAGATGAGTGTTTACTAAGCTTCAAGCAATACAGTTGATCAGGGCAAAAAACCGAAGTTAACAAACAGAAGATATGAAACTGCTTCACTTGGCGTTATTACCATTGTTGGCAATTGTAGTATTTGTGCGGATGTCTTCATGACCAAATCCCCAAGCATCTTGTCGTAAACTCCTGGTGATTGAAATTCCTCCGCTTTTTCCTGAAGGGTTTCAACATCATCTTCTTTAGGTAAGAAGGAAAGAAGTTCTTTATCTCCACTTAAGACCTCGTCAACAAAAAGTTGCCCCGAGTGATAAGTGTCTTTCTCTTCAGTCTTCAATAAACTGATGCTCTCCAAATGTTCTTTGAACAATGTATCTCCTGCAATAAATTTATAAATTTGCTTCACTAAGTTTCTAAAGGCACAGTCTCCGTCGGCGACTACTTCTTCTATTTCCAGGCCAAAATTTCTCTACAATATGCTTCGATTCCTGTCGATACTTATGTCATCTTCATGTGCATCAAACAGGCTTTGGAAACTAATGAAATCTGGCATATTGATCATTTCCTGTATGTCTGAAGCTTCAAATGCCCTGCTGTGTTTCTTGGCCTCTAAGTTTGTGATGACCTCATACATATACAGTATTACCCTAGAGACAAATTCCGTTTGCACATCCTCAATTTCCTCTGCAACAACGGTGGTATCTTGCTGATAATTGCTGGAGTTTACATCCGAAATGAGGCCGTCCTCTTGGAAAGTGTGATACTCCAGTGCTTCCTTTAAAAGGAGGTAAGAAACTTGAAGACTCATCTTTCTCTTCTATTTTCGCATTATGTACCTCAATCGGCAGAGCGCATCCTACTCTTGAATTGCATTTATGCTTTGTTAGTAAAGTCCGACTACTGTGGTGATAGAAAAGCACAGTGAGAATCGCTACAACTAATTCCACATTGATTCTCGTTGCTCCTGACAAACAGGATCTGTTTAGCAGCTTGTGCAGCTGTTCATTCCGCTCTGTTCCGAACCCTGGAGGTATTCCCGATAGAAAATTGTTAAGGATGTGTTTTTTAAGTCTTTCTATTTCTTCCAGAGTTTCCTTGGTAAGAGGAGAGACGACTACATGGTCCAACCTCTTCAGGAAAATGTTCAAGTTTTGGAGAATTTTTACTTTGCAGGATTTTTCCTGCAAACGAACATCTCCTTGGTCATGGTCTTGTCAGAATATCAAACCAAATTCCTCTTCAAATGCTCTTTTGAGAGGGTGGTTATCATGTAGAAACGTTTTGCATACTCTTTGACAAGCATGGTAAAGATCAAGTTTCCAGGAGTATTTTTAAATATTGATTGATACTTCTTGCGAACCTTGCAACAGTCGTCAATACAAATAAGCTCCAGCTTTTTGTTCTGTAATGTACAAGTTTTTAAACTGCGTTATGAATTTCTCATCTTAGCCAGGCCTTACTACTCCAATATTTTTAATGACTTTGAAAGTGTGATCGCATGAGATCGCCAGACCTGTCACCTTATTCATTTCACTTTGATACACATACTGTTTATTTGAGGAATCCCTCAAAAAGATGCAACTAATTTGGTCATTGCTCAGAAAGGAGTATATGTTGTCGTGAAACTGTCTCACTGAACGGTTCTCCAGTAGCTCTATTTTCGTTTCGTGCGGCGTTGTATATTTGGCCACGCCTGCAGAACTCTCGAAAATTGAACTCTGCTATCTCTCAACTGACCTTCACGAAGTTCACTCCTCTGATTAGATTTGAATTAATAAAATCTAAAACTGCATTTGTGCACCCACTGCGACTAAACATAGTTATTAAGAAGATTGCCTGTATATGATGCCGTTAACTTTTTAAGAAATCATTGCAAGATGAAACGATCTTACGGGGATGGCCGCTCGTTTTACACAAATAAATGCGCTGTACGAGAAGAACGTTCCCAAACGAGTCAAATATTAGCCTTGGTATTCGGTCCTTATTTCCAAACTCACCAGTATTGAATTGCCACGGTACAAGAGGGACATCATGGGCGGGGCATTTGATGACACAGTCAACAAAGTGCTCTTGAGGACTCCATACAAACACCTTCGGTTTGAAAAAATCTGCTTTTGTTGTTCCTCGTAAAGAAGGACTGATGATATCATGGGAATTTCCATCGTTTGGATTTTTGTGAAATCTTTGATTACATTTTGAAGGTAGCAAGTTATCATTTAGTAGAACAGTCTTTCTGAGTCTTCCCTATTGCTAGAAATTATTATTAGCAACATGTCAAATAGAAACAAAAAATTTAACCACAACTCATTACATGAACAGAATGTTCTTCAGCAAATTTATGAACCTAAATCACAGAATTTAACCACAACTCATAACATGAACAGAATGTTCTTCGACAAATTTATGAACCTAAATCACTGAATTTCGACCATTTCAGGACTTGTAACCTTATGGGATTCTGTATGAACAGTAACACAACTTTAACTTTTTTCAGTTACTTTTATTAGTTAGCAAGTCAAACTTTAAGTATGAATTCCAAAATTTTTATTACATCATCCTGGTATTTTGGGTGAAGTTCATTTTTAGGGACCTGCAAAAGAAAAGTAAGGTTGGCATTAATTGACTAGTATGCATTGACATTACTTGGATTATTTTCCAGTTTTACTTCCTGACATTATTCCAGTCTTGTTGCATTGTGAATAGCCTACCTCTCAATAACATTTAATTTGACACGTCAGAATGATGCATCTTAAATGACATGCTTGTAAAACAAAGCAATCATGTAAATGTGGTCGAAAAGGGAGGCAAATAACAGTGAGACTCTAACAAGGATTCAGTATTACTTAATGGTCAATCTTCACACAATTATTTTCCAATTCTATTGACATTTTTCTTATTCCCATAATTTTGATATTCTTCTTGAGGATTTTAATTTTTATTCAAGGAGATTAAAGGAGAAGTATGTCCCAAATACCTGATACAACTTTTTTCTTTTTTAATTTTTTCCTTCAGTAGCAGTTTTATTATAGTATCATGGTTTTTGGTGAGTTTTAAACTAGTATTTACTTGTTTAAAACAAGCTGGGTGTGAATGTGGGACGTCACTCACAGGATGATTGAATAATCCCATGTTAAAACAAAATTCTTTTACACATGTTAAGAAACAGTAGCCACAATAATAAGGTTCTCAAAGATAAAGATGTAAACAAAGTTTACTGATGCAAAGCAATGAGATGATAACAAGGCTTGGAGATAAAATGATGCATAGCAAAGCCATGAAAACAGACAGAGTAAATGATAGAAGCAATGCATAAAACCGTTTAAAGTCATTTTAAATACAAAGAAGTACATACAAAGAAAACTATATTCAAACAGACTGAAAAACTATGATAAACTTTGAGGAAAAAACTCTAGATCTCATGAAAATGATGGAAAAAGGTTAAGAGACTTCTGTATCCAGGTGAGAGATTTTACAGTGCTGACATTGTACCTTGGAAACTTGACACTAACATGATGAATAGCCAGCCTGAACTGAAAGTTTTGCTGAACATGTGCAATAAACTATACTAAATGGTACAAAAAACCACTGAGCAGTACAAAGGATAATAACTTTGATTGTACCATTTACAGTGTGTTTGTAAATACATGTAAGTCAGATTCTGTTGTTTTGGCCCCAGCAAATTGGAAATTTCTTGATATTTATTAATTCAATGGGTGCTACTGTGAAGAAAAATTGGAAGCCAGTCACTTATAGGGGTTAAAAAGTTAATATACTTTTGACCTAAATGAGAAAAAGGTTGATGATAATGATGATCATGCCGTGGATCAGTAAAGCTCAGTGTTTACTGCCAAATAGTTTCTCTGTTTGTATTTCCTTTTGTGATTTTGTTTTGTGAAAACATGTTTTCTAATGCTGATCAATCTGGAGAGGATCTTTGATCAAAGAAACTCCAAAAAACTTTTGTTGTTTCTCCTCACAGTATCACCCATTGAATTAATTATTAAGTTCATGTGAATAAAAGAAATGATCACTTCTTTTGAGAGGCTCCCGATTTTATAACAAATTCTCATCATCAGCACCTTAGAAAAGGTAGAGAGAAAAATATATGAATACCAATATAAGGGTGCAACAGGTTATATTGCTACTTGTTACCTTTTTCTGTTTCCAAAGAATAACATTTAATCATTCAAAAATGGTCTTCAAACGTGCTAAAGATTCAATTGTGAATGTCATCATTTTGAAAACTCCTTTGTGAGCTTAGCTGTGTAAAGCATGCAAGCTTGCTATAAAAAATTTGGTTTTGGTTATTATGAAAACTAATTTTTTTTATTTAAGTGAACAATTTCTTTAAGCGTAGCTCCTAATTTTTAATACTTTGACCCCTAAAAGTGACAAGCATCTAATTTCTCCTTGCAATATCACCCTTGAACCACACATTTAGGTCACAAGAATAAAGGAAATGATCACCAACTGAAGAAGCTCTTGATTATTACACAAATTCTCCATATCAGCTCTTGGAAAATGTACAGTATACAGAACAACATACTTAGAGAATGTGCATGCTAATGTTAGGATGCTAAGGGTTTACAGTGTTAGGGAAAAAGAAGAGAGAGATTTGATTACGCTGAGGTAAGAAATTAGGTTGCTAAGTTAGATTCAAACAAGCACTGCATTCCCTGGTTAAGTTTTAAGAACATCTGAAGCTTCTCATCTTAACTCCAAAACTTTGGAATCTAAAAATGCTGTCAGTGTCATAATTGGTACAATATTTCTGATTGCATGAGAGACCAAGGTAGGATTTCTCCTCACAATATCAATACAAAATTAAGGAGGCATGTGATCAGAGTAGAGATAAAGATTATTAGTTGATCCAAAACCAAATTCTCTGAACTAAATTCATAAGAATTCTATGGCAGACAGTAAGGAGATCTTGGGAGTGAGACGGTTGAATGATAAGATTTTGAGGCTATGTCATGAGAGAGGTGTTTGAGTAAATCAATACAATCAAACCTTGGTTATCCAGATTATTTGATTATCTGGACCTGATTCTCTGGTCTCAAAGAAATAGTCCCTCTTGAGATCTTTGACAATGTTTTCCCATCACACAAAGCTGAATTACTGAAACAATTTGATGACAATGACAGATAGCACTTCAGGTAGCAAAACATTTTTGTAAATACTTTTGGCAAATGTTAACACTGAAGTGCATTCATTGGAGAATGTACTTTATTTCTTGCGTGGTTTAAATCAAATGATACATTTTGGCTCATCAAATTTTTAGATTGGGGTTCGACTGTATAACCAGTTGGGCAGTGTTTCTAACTTCCATACCTCGTTGAAGTCATAACTTTGATCTGCCATCGTTTTCACAAACGCTTCCTCGCCTCCACGATTCCTTCCCATTGATACGTAAATACGTGAACCAGGTTTTGCTAATTTTGTGATGCACCGAGCGAGTAGCACAGAGTCGTCCGCTAAATAAAGGCATTCTGCAGCGAGAATGAGATGAAACAGACCATCTTTTGTTAAATCTTCTGTGCTTTTCCCCCAACAATATTCCACAACCTTGATTCTACTCCGACCAACTCCAGTCACATTTGCTGCCACGTTGTCTTCAAGAGTTTTTACACAACATTTCTGATCAGTTAGAACGGTCATTTTCGCACCTAACAAACACAAATAAATTCCTACTAAACCGCAGCCAGATCCAAGCTCTAAAACTCGGCATTCCTGCAAATAGTGTAAAGGAAATAGATCTCGATTATCGAACATCTTAGCGAGTGCAATACTTCCATCCCAAACAGTTGTTCCAAGAGCTGTATAGCTCTGTCGAAGTTTTATGAGAGGCATGCAATTGTAGAGTTCGTTGTCCCCTTCTCCAGATCGATCAGCGTCAGAACCCCTGTCAACTTCAAGTTCAAATGGATTTTCGAACCGTTGTTTTTCAGGCTTGTACTCTTGTCGAAGCCACATGATTAATGGGAATGACTAGGATTTTGGATGACCAAGGAAGACCAGTACTGCATCCCTACTGCAAAACATGTCAGGCGCGACTTTGTACCCAAGCCTCCAAGTTAACCAGTCTCCCTCAGTCTGTTTCGACGATACGTGGAGAAGTCGTCAAAACAACTTTTAATTTGCAGCAGAGGTATTTGCCAAAAAAAAACAGTACTTTTGGAACAGTGCAAAGCAACGGTGCCAGAACACCCCCGTCACACTAAGCCATCAAACCTGCAATTAGTTCAATTTTAATCAGGGCCGTTTCTCGGAGTAATCATCTAGGTCGTTATAGTGAGACCTGGTGAGTCTCGTTTCTTGTTGGCGAGACGTTTTCTTATTTTGATTCGTTAGAGAAATTTAATTCCTCCCACTGGGCTGCTTTTTATCAAAAATCTCAGCTCCACTTCACGATCAGAAACCGCAAGCTTTGGAGCCAGTTACAAAGATTTCACTACACGCCTGGCTCCGCGCGCGCCAACATTGAGCAAAAACCCCATGGGGCCTCCTTAAAACTTGTTATTTTTTGACAAACTCTAGCAATGTGGCAAACATCTTGTTTGATTCAACATTTTATTAAAACTTTCTTTGACCGAACTCCTGTGGTTTTGAACAAGTCCTAAGCGCTATCTAAGTCAAGCGTTCTTATCCACACAGGCCAAAGTGACGTCAGAATTCATCTTTACTCTCATTAGTCAGGTGAGAAGGAGCCAATTACAAGATTTATTAGCGGTCAGCGGTCAGTCACAAACTGAAAGTTAGCTCATCAACTATTACATAACGAGCCACTGAAAGTTAGTTCGTTATGTAATAGTTGATAAATCAATTACCACCCCCCAAAAAACAACAACTTCAACGACAACAACAGCATGACGAAAAGTGATCGTATTATGACCAAAACGATTACAGAGAGATCTACGGAAGATTTGAACGGGACTGTAAGTAAGGAGTGAATCTGTACTGAACTGGTGAAAATGCAGCATTTTCATTTTTTAACTCGTTATTTTTTAAAAAACTCTAACCTTGCGGCAAGATCACTCATTGTTCATCTCTGGCGGATGATCAATCATCTCTTTACGTCAATTAAAATGATCAGAAGAAAGCAGCGTCGAAAGACTGAAAGGCAAAAAGAGAAGGTTAAAGGTAACAATATTTAAAATGAACTTATATGTCAGATGAGATAGACAACATTAAGATGCGAGCGAGAAGAACTCCCCCATCAATGCTGGAACTGTGTGAATATTATAAAAAAAAACAGGCTTTGACGTTTGGCTCCAAAGAACATTCAGATGTTGAAGAAAATCAAACAGGAACAGCAACGTCAAAAAAGCAAGCACAATTAAGGAAGAGGCTCTTAGGTTCTGCCGCTGCAAGCTCGAGTAGTTATGAACCATCAGAATCTAGCTCATCAGGTCATATGTCTGTGCACAAATCAAGGATTTTCTCCGCAGTGCGCGAAGACGTTCCTTCGTTTTTAGAAGAGGCATGCACTGATTTACCAAGAGTAAGGGCTCGCAAAGTTAAAATAGCGGCGGTTAAAGGTGGAAAAGATGGCAGAGATAAATACCCCTCTTTTCACAGTCCAGAGGGTACGAGCGATAAAAGCGTTCAAATGGCCTTGTGGTACATAAAGACCTCCAACGCTAAACAGGACAAAGGCATGGTGGTACATTCAGGTGGCAGGGCTAACATAAATTTATACAGGAACTTGCAAGAACAACAACGACGGCAGGCCACGACAGGAGTGGGGTGTACTGGCTGCACTCTCCCGCCGATCCAGCCACCCACTGCGGTGTCACCAATGTATCTACCCCCGGTAAAACCAGGGCCACACAGCAAACTGCCTGCCAGCGCAGGCCGTCGATTTGGTCGACTAGAAATTCATCAAGAACCAAGAAGTCAAGAAAATCGACGGCAGGGTGTTTGTGAGAGCAAAGATGGCAGTGGCGTTGAACGCAATTTCGTTAGAGTTTTGAACAAAAGATTTTAGTCGATTGTTTCCGTGTTTCGTTTCTAACGAAGATACGTATACGTTGATATTCTAAGTCGATGTCTAATATTGATATCTCTCCTTAGAAAAATTTAAATCAAAAATCGATCGCTTATTGATCATATTTGAACACATTTTAAAACTACGTGATCTATATTGATATTACAGTCTACAGTGTGGCTGAATTTAGACTGTGAATTAATAACTGTGGTTGGTATCAACCGTGTAACTGTAAATAGAAAAATCAATTGTTAACATTCCCGGAGTAAAACATGCAAAAAAAGGTTCAAAGATGCAGCGCTACTACTGCTGCTCAAAGATAAGTCGTAAAAAGTCATGGTGATAAGTGAAAGTGTTGTTCGCAGAAATGAAAGAGCTAAATCCAAAAGCTATAATATGTAACTGGAGTATGAAAACAAAAATAAAACGAAACAAATACAACAGTGACACAGAAAAAAGCAAAGCCGAGAAATTTTTCTTTCAATATCCTTCGTATACATCAGCTTATAACCCATATTCATTTTTAAGAGGTTATGTCCAAGAATTTTCGCCTGCCAGACTATTATTATTATTAGACTAATATTTTTTACAAACTCTGACCTTAAATTGCGGCAAGATCACTTATTGTTCATCTTTGAAGGAAGATCAGTCAGCTCTTTCCTATGACGTCAATTGAAGTTCCAAGTTTTTACAATGATGCTGTATGTGTTATCATGACTTCACTTTCATCAATATTATCGTGTACAATACGGTAGGAGATTCTAAAAAGTAACCCTAGAGTAACAGCAAGAAGTTTACAGTGCTTCCGCACAAGCGAAACGATCCATTCCCGCGAGGAAAGATGCCATCAGCATATTCTACTATCAGAAGATCGTGTACAAAGTCGTCGAAACGAAACGAACGTTTCCCTTTTTAATGAAATGTTAGGCATTGAACAGGTCTGAATAGAATTTTCTCGTGATTTCATTTCATATTTCAAACAAATACAGAAACGGTAGGAGAGAGACCTTGACTCGAGGACTCTGTCCTGTCATCAGTTTGAGATGGTCTCAGGTTAACAGCTAACCGTAAAACGGCCAAAAAGTTACCTGTGTCGCGTAAAACTTGACAAATTTTAACAGCTAGTTATTAAAAAAAATTAACTCTCAAAACTTTTCCTATCTACGATTTATCATTTTGAGAGTGCCAAAATGTTTTAATGTTCCATAAACACATAATATATATATTACTGTCTCATATACATATACAGCAATATTTTCACTATGCTATTTACTTCTTTGTGTATGTATTTTTGTCGTCTCAGAATTGGCCTAAAAAACTAACCGCTAACCGAAAAATGCCCAAAGCTTTAACCGTTAGCCGTAAGAGCCATCACCCAATTGAGACCCTCGTTGTTTCTCCACTCCTAATTTACAAAGACACTTTGAATGCTTAAAGACCTAAGGCATTCCTGTTTTTCTAAAATACGTGTACAAACATATGGGTTACGTGAGAAAACGCCAGTACCAATATTGGCCCCCGCTTTCGAGCTCCGCTGGCGTGAGTTCCATGATACGACTGAGTGACTTAGTAAGTCCGTAAGGCTTACTGCATGTGTTTTGAAATTAATGTTGGCAAAGAGAAAATAACAAAAACACCCTCCCCATTTTGTGCAGGAATGGATAAACGTAGAGTCTTCCAATCAGATAACTTTAAAATACCGGAGATGAGCGAGGAAACATTTCTTTTGTAGCTTACAAGTTGTAGCTAACATTATTGTTCCTAAGTAAACAGTGCTCACGTTTGAATATCCAATTCATGAAAAAAAAATTTGTAAGCCACATCTTGAGAATTATCCCAAAGTTGTGTTCACAAAAGGATGTTGAAGTTTAAAGTTTGGTTTTGTAAAGCAAATTAATTTCAAAATGCAACCGAACTATAATTTTTTTTACCTCTTACACTATTTCTCATGTGAGTTGTTGCCCCGGCCAAATTTGTGTTATTTTTACACATACGAAATTTCAGTTTCGTCATTTAAGTTTCCGTTCAAGTTAGTCTGCCCGCTTTTGAAGCAATTTAAAGTCCATTTATGAACTAACAGGGGAGGATAACATCAACCATTGTGAAACACACAAACATTATTCTTTTTCGTGCTAAGGGGACCCCTGCTAGCCGATCGACCAACTCTAACCCTTGGAATGTTTACAACAATTCTCAGTAACACGAATTGTGGAATCACTAAACACTGTGAAACATGGCTAATATCGTTCCTGTGGTTTGCTGTGGTTTTGATGGTAACACTGGTAGAAATTGCTGATTTAGATCATTAGAGGGGTGCCACGAGGGGAATTTTGTTTGAAAGTTTTGGCGTTTACTTTTGTCGTGGTGGACGCTGATAGTGAGGTGTTATGGCGTCACGGAATCGAACCTCAATCTACTCGACCACTCGTAATTCTTCGTCGGACAAATCTTTGGGATCAGCAACGCCATCGCTTTTGGCATCGACTGAGAAATTAGCAGCTTCTTTATCAGTTAAAGTTTCTCCATAAAAACAACCGTTCAAAGGTCTAAAATACAGAGCTATGACACAACAGCTCTTCCATATCGTGAATTGTTAGTTAGAACAACTTCTTCAGTCTCGGGACCCTATCCAAACGGGGTCTTTCCAAACAGAAAGAGCCGGTTTTTGCCAAAAAAAATGGTCACTCATTGAATAGACTGGTGTGCGAGAAGTGCTTTCTGATTTGTCATTAATGCCAGAAGGAAGTTGATCATTTTGCATCATCTGAAACCTAAACCTCTCTACACCCTAACATCAGTATCTATATTCTCCATGCTTTTCTCTGTACAATTCCTCTGGTACTGACAAGGAGAATTTGTTTAACAATCAAAGCTTCTTAAGTTGGTGATCATTTGCCTTATTCTCATTATCTTTATGAATGACTCAGCAGTATTATTGTAAGGAGAAATTAAATACTGGTCACTCCCAGGGTTCAGAGGGTTAAAAACACAAATATCTCACAGTTTCCACGCCAAGTGAATTGTCAGTGAAAAGGCGCTCGGTTCAAACTTTA